ACGCCATGGCACCGCACATGCCAAACGATGCTGTAGGAGCCCTTGAGCAAGACGAAGATGGGGTTGCGATTGCAGGGAAACCACTCCAAAGAAAAACGCTGCCCTCAGCGGCCCCATGGACATGGAAAAAGGTATTTGGGCAGCTGGGGAGCGGCTTTCTGAGGAGTTCGACTTTGCACATCATTACAACATCGTCGAAACGCGAGGAAATTTGGGGATGAAAGCTTTAAACCCTCAGATGCGGCTCCCATCTAGGCAGAACGTTAAACTTGTCCTTAAACCAAATTTCTTTCATCTTGCCACGTTATTGTACTATCCTAGAAAAAGAGCCAACTATTTTACATTGGAAAAGGTTAAAAAGGAAAAGGCTTCCAGAATGAAAGGATCTAATTTTCTTATTTTCCCTGGGGAAAATAAGATCCCTATATTCAGAGCACTCCTTTGGCTTTAGCTGGGATCCGCTGACTGGACGGCTCATCGCACAACAAGGAATTATCTCCTTCTCACCAGTTTTAAGCACAAAAAGTTTTAACGTGGAAAAGATTTGAAAAACGGAGTTTGCACACCAATTTAAATCTAAAACACCTCACGCCCGAGTCACAACTGTTGTATCCTTTTCCTCTCTCTTCTTCTCCTCCCACCCTCCATCTCCTTTTGTTGTTCCCAGATTTAAAGATCAGCCAGCTCTATTTGTTATCTAGCCTTAATATCTGGGGTAAAAAGGGGTCGGTGGGGAAGCAGGAAAAAGGAGAGATTGGCCTGCATCCCTGTTAAAACCCAGGAGCGGACAGCCAGCTTTCCTCTGGCATCGCCTTTCAAAGCCCATGCCGCAGTCAGCATATTGAATATTTAATGTCCTGATGAGCATTTCCACCTGCTGACACAGGCAAAGTGACAGAACAATACACGCGCTGGAACAAGATCATCAATTGACTCCCCAGTCGGTCTGCCGGGTCAGGCAGTTAAAAAAAAATAATAATATAAAATAATCTGTCTGTCTTTCTCCCCCGCCTTGGCCGGGGTCACACACTGTTCCTCTGAGAAGGATTCCCACCTGAAATACATACTTCTTTACATTCCATAGCTTGCCAGGTTCATATGGGCATATAAAGAAGTATGTCTCTCAAGCAGGTAGTTTCAATATGCGCATTTATATGGTCACAGGAGGAAAAATAACGCTGATTTACAATTTACATCCTGAGAGTGAGTTACGGCTCAGTTCAAACCAGCAGACTTTCCTCCTGCCCAGCCCATGTGCAGACACACACCCCCCAGCTCCCGATCCTCGCCGGTAATGCTGGGCTGAACCCTCAGCAGATGATGGATTTTGGATCCTGGGAAAGGGGAACTGCATAATTCACTGGACACAAAGCAGCAAATGTCCAGTGGCTGCCCTGGCAGGGGCTCTTTGAGACGTAAAAGACACAGAGTAAAAGCCAGCCTCCCACTCCACCTAAAAAGTAGGTGTTTCATTCAAAATCATGAACTTTCAGCATTTAAAAAAAGACCATAACGTGGTTTAGAGGAAAGGCTTTGCTGTATATGCATACAGGTACCATTTCAGACAAAGCCATGTGGGAGAAAGTTACATAGAGATGAATTCCCAATTGCCTGCATCCTACAATTTGGAAGCAAAAAGCCAATTTGTTTTCAGAAAGCCCAAAATCAAATGGCCATCTACTGATTTACAAACTGACACCGGGAAGGACTGTTCCATTTGCCAGAGTAAGAGAACTCATCAGCCCCAGACAAGCGATTGCTTTATCAGTAAGTAGAGATTAAAGCATAGGAAGAAGAAAGCATCTTACCTACTGAATCCAATGATTTTTCCCCTTCTGGTCACTGGAAGTGAGACACTACCCCGCAGACAACCAACCCCCAAAAGATAGCACAAGCCTTTCGGGGAGATCAGGGCGTTAAAAGCAAAAAAATAATTAAAAATTGCTCCTAATAACTCATCCGGTTGAGCTCCACGCCAGCTAAGGGGCTTTGGGAAGACCTGCAGACATAAAAGGCAGCCAAGGCGAGGTTCTGGGAGCTCGGGCCAAAGTCTTCCCGAGTTCTTCCCGCAGCCCCCCGTGGGCTGCGCTCCCCGCACGCCGCCGCACTGTGCACCCGTGGGGCTCGGTCCCGCACGCAGCCCTGGCTCTCTCTCCCCCTCTCCCTCGCCTCCTCGCAGCCGTGCTGAGCTTTAAAGCTCCCTGAACAATGTGGGCCGAGTGGCAGGGCTGCGATCGCCGCCCGGGCTGAATGGGAGACTATAATGGGCAGGATTTAGGCAGGAGCGCGGCGGAGGTCACGCCGGGCGCTGCCTGCTCGCTCAGCAGGGCGGGCAGGGTCCCTCACATGCGCCCGCCGCCCCTCGCCCGCCGCTGCCCACGATCGATACCAATTTACAGGCAAATGGGGAATGGCTGCCTCCGTGTTAATGAATTTTACCGTTTCTCACAGTCTTCTAATGAACCCTTTAAAGAGGGTTTAAGTAAACTTAGCAAGTGGCAAACTAAGCACTTTGGAATACCTAATTGCATCGATGCTTTTGGCTGCTTTTTTTAAAATATCACTGCCAGCTGGGGAGTAAATACTTCCCTGCTCCCCATCGACTTCCAGCACCACTGAAAAGCAAAGGCCGCATGGAGCCAGGGTGTAAATCCGCTGTGCTCAGCCCCAACCCCCAAAATGGCTTTACACCCCTCATGCAGTGCTGGCACATGCCTAGGTCCTGGCTCTGTGCAGCTTCCCCCTCATTCCCTGAGTTTGTTGCCTGTTTTAATCATTATTATTTGTCTGAGTTAAAGGCAAATTTCAACCTTTAGTTTGGATTAAGGGGAAGAGAGATGGAGCTGTGGCACTGGTGTAATGCATGACTGCAGTGAAATTAAAGCAAAGGGAGAGCTGAGGAGTATGAGGGAAAGTCTGACTGCCTCAGATTATTAAAAAAAAAAAAAAAAAAAAGAAGAAGCCCAAAAAACCCAAGAAAAATCAAAGTGCTGGTGATGGGGTGTTGCACAGCCATGGTATTGAATTTCTTTCAGACCAACAGCAGGAGAACAGCTACTGGACTTCTTGGACCACTAAACACCTGCACCTCATACCCAATTTGATTTCTTCAAATGCATTTGACATGGGCTGTCCTGAACAGTCCCCAACTTCTGCAGACAAGTAGGACAGTGACTGCCAACTGCTAAAGCAGGTACTATGTAAGAGATAAAAAAATGACCTTTTAGATCCTTACTCGAACTGAGGACGATGACACAACCACAGCAGCAAAGTTTGTCCCGGAGATTTAAAATTGCTTTGAGGTCGTGGGTGGAAGCTCATGCTTTCCGGGGTTGTGCCTTTTGGTGGAGAAGCCAGTAAATGGTGTGATGGTGTTTTTAATGTGACATCAGAGGCACCCTGTGGATCCCATCTTCCAGCCACCACCAGGATTAAGTAGTGGTGGGTGAACATAATCCACCATCCTCGACCCACCTGGGCTTGCTGAGCTCCTGTGCTTGCTCTTGGCCAAAAAGCATGCGCAATAAAACTGTTGCTGTTCTGGGGAGAAAAATGGATGGAGACCTGGATCGTGCAGAGGGAAAGGGGCAAAAAAAGGGGAGGGAAGGGCCTGAGGCATTGCCTGGAGACAGAAGGGGAAAGAGGATGGTGAGAGACATGGAATACAACGTGCTGTATATTATATCCCTGCTCTGCCCCAGGCACTGCTCAGGTCCAAGTAGCAAAGTCAAATGGAAGATGTGCAGCACAAAACTTTGGGGACTTTGAAGACAGCCTGTATCTAGGGCTGGGCACCGGAGAAGGGACACACAAGCGGGGCCGAGGTGGAGGCATGTGCTGGCCACAGTGCTGCCTGTGGCAGAGAGACTGAGCTCAGACCTTGGGAGCCACAGACACAGCCACCTGCTCGAGAGGAACCCAGCAATTAAACTGACAGCACAAATCACAGATTTCTGCCTATACAATTACACATGACTGCTGAGTGCACGCTCCCTGTGGCACAGACATATATACCTGTATCCATACTCTACACACAGCCTGGAGATGTGTTGTACCTGGATGATAAGTTACACCTGCTTATATATGGCATTTATATACCTATGCATAAAGATGCGTAAAATATCCATATGCGTGCTATAAAACAAACCTAAATCTATGTGTGTATGCACCACAGTATCCATCTCACAAAACTGATGTCTATATATTCCTGTGACTAGGTATCACCACTATCATATAAAATATAATGACCATAGTCAACTCTGAGCTGCAGAAGCAATAACAGACAATTGATGCTACACTTCATGTAACCTGAATTCCAAACCCTTGCAGGAAAGCCTAACTTCTCCTCCTCCTCCCCATATTCCCTTTCTGATGGTCCACAAACCACGAGCCTGTAATTAATACTCATTTCTCGGCATTTTAACAGTTAATCACCACAGCATTGAGATCATTGCAAGTTAGGCTAAGTTTAACCACATTTCACCCTTTTGCTCTGCCTGGTATCAGCTCATAGCACTAGTTTGTTGCAAATAAATAAATAAAACCCCAATCCCCCCAGGTGTCATTAGCCAGCCTGTGTCTGAATTAGGCATTTAAAGGCCGGTTTAACCTTGCAGAACGGTTGCATGTCAAAGTTCTAACATTTCAGTTCAGATTATTCTAGTGCACTGCTTGCTCTGCAGTTTGTTAGTTTTTTTTTTTTTAAATGCGGAGTATGCCACAGCAGAAAAAAAAAAAAAAAGGGGGGGGGGGGAGGAGGTTTCCTAACCGATCCACAGATTAAACACACATCCAGCACACCCCACACAGATACACACACACACACACACACATTTGCCGGATGCAGAAGCCCACATTTAAGTCCCTGGGTAAGTTGGATGGGCACTCAGTCCTGCATTGGCCAGGGAAAGTGTTTAAACCAAGCTGAGCTGGTAGCACTTAAAGGCAAGGCAGGGAGCAGAGAGGGGTAAAAAAAAAAAAAAAAAAAAAAAGAGACATACCAGTTAGGAGCTTCTGTTGCAGCAGAGGACTCACCAGAGCACTAGCTGAAAGCTGAATCAGCTTTCGAGAGTTAGGGATGCATAGAGGAGGGTCATGGAATCACAAGGTAATAATGCGCTTCATGCTGCAGCCGTCAGCCTTCTCCTTATAGCCAATCTCTAATGCAGGAAGGGAACAGAGAGCAGGCCCAGGGATGGGATTAGTCCTCACTTGGAGAGAAGAAAAAAAAAAAAAATTAAAAAAAAAAAAATCACCAGGCAAACCCTCCCCTCCCACCCACCCTTACCTCGCCCCCGCCGCCCGGCACCGCCACAACTCCATCCCTCCATCCCCGTCGCTGCACCGCATCGCAGCGCGGTGCCGCGGGGTGCGGGGAGGCAGCGCGGTGCCGCGGGGGCTGCGCGGGGCGGGCGGGGAGCGCGCTCGGGCAGCGCCGCGGCCAGCCGGGGGTTAAGGAGCAGCCACGGTGCCCGCCCGGATTGCAGCACACCTTGATGCGAGAGGCTGCGCCGGCACAAGTGCCTGCGGCCCCCCCCCCATCCCTTCTCCTCCTCCTCCTCCTCCTTCTCACATCCCCCCCCCCGCCTCGCCCCGGGGGTCAGCCCGGGCTGGGGGTCAGGCTGCGGGGGGATGCACAGGGCTGGGGGGGGGGGGTGGAGGGGGGATTTGGTGGAGGGAGGGGGGAGCTCTGGTCAGGACGCGAGTCCACCTTTCTAGTGCTTATATACCCAGCGAAGCATCCCAAACACGCACCCCCGGGCGCGCGGCCCCTGCTCCTGCTCTTCCCTCCCTGACCATATTTAGTCAACCACGGCAAAAAATAGCCCGTCAGCTGGAGCCTGCCGAGCAGGGCTCGGAGTTCAATCGCTCCTCGCAGCCCATTGACTACTGGTCCTGCAGGGTCCTGACTCTGCCTTTTTTTTCCCCTCTGCTATTTTTAGCTAGGCCAAATAAAGAGGGAGCTCATCTTACTACTCTCCACCGGCCCGAGGTTTCTCGGGGCCCTGGCTATGTTTGGTAAGCGCCAGTGTTGAGAGACAGAGAGCGGAGACCTTGTCCATGCCGGAAAACCTTTGGCTCTCTCCTGTATTTGTTCTTTTCCTCTCCTTTTCTTTCTTTCATTTGTATTCCTTCCTTCATGGTAGAAAGGATTCTGGCTGAGAAGGTGGGGAAGAAGCTCAAGGGATCCTGATTTTCATGTTACAGAGGGAAGAACTGGCTTTTAAAGACCTCATGCTGGTGCCAAGTCCTTCACCGCAAGGTACTGGGCACGTCATTGTCTGGCCGTGCCTGTCCTCCTGTGTCTCCAAAGGTGCTGAAGGCTGGGAAGGTGTTGGCCTTTCTGTCCTACGTGGAGAGCACTAGGGAGCCTCGTTGCCAGCCAGGGAAACCCCTCTGTCACAGTGGGTTAATGTGGGTCACCAACACAGCGGTGTCTCCTGGGTCTTGAGGTCATGGGATCCTTCCAGCCTCCGAAGTTTCATCCAGCAGTAAAGCAAGGAGGGAAGATTTTGGCAGTGGAGGCACTGCCCTTGGCTTGCATCCAGAGAAGCAGGTGAACGTCTCTAGAAACTCGAGTTATACCCAGCTTCAAAGTGAGGATATGCAGAGACCTGGGGAGGTCACTTGGGCAGAGCAGATAAATGATGACAGACATGGCATTGGCTGCGTTCAGCTGACCCGTCCTGCTTGCTCGCAGCAGATCCCTGTTCTGGACCAACTCCTGAATCCAATGGCTCCATCTGTCCTGCTCACCCCAGGCCTCTACACCTCATCAAGGCTCACCCAGAGGGACCATGACACCTCCTCAGACCCCCAGAGCACCTCATGCTGCTGGCAGACCAGTGCTGTGGGCAGGCTTTGGGGGATCAGGGCTGGAGGGACTGGCATCTGCCACAGGATGTTTGGGTGGTGGCGGCTGGATGTGGAACTGGGGTGGGCAGTTTGCATGAACCCACTGAGGTTCCCAACACCCTCGGCTCCCATCAGTGATCCATGAGCGTGGAGTGGTGTGTGACAGAGATGCCCACCCACAGGGCCTGTGCTCTGCTGCACTGTGATCCCAACGGATGCCTCCACTTAGGACATCCGTGTGAGCCTGTCAGGCAACACTCGTCTGAGGGCGTTGCGCTTGCTGGGAGCCGATAGCAAGTCATCCAAGGATGGGAAATGCCTGCAGGAACCACCCCATAGTGCCACGAGGTGGGGAGGGTGCCCAGGAGATCCCAGCAGTGCTTCCCTATGCCCTCATGTCTGAGGTCCCCAGCTCTGAGGACGATGCCAGAAATAGCCACTACGGGTGACACGTCTGCTCTCTGTCCTGGGCTGCCTTGGCTCTTTCTCTGTCTCAGCTGATGGGTCTCCTGAACCTGCTCTGGGGACTTGGATTTCCCTCTGCTGCCTCCTGGTCCCAAAGACAGGTTGTTCCACACCGTCACTGTTTGGATAGCCCCGGACAGGGTGTGTGGCAGCAAAACCATGAAACCTGGTGTTCCTGAGGTGCCAGAGCCATCTCTGCAGTGATGACAACAAAGAGCAGAGCTTTGTCTGACCCCAGCGACCAAACCTGCCACTCCCCACAGGAGTGGCACTGGGGAAGAGCCTGAAGGAGACCCTTTCCCCCCTCCCCACTCCTCTACCTCAACATATTCCTTATGACCACCAGTGTCCCCTCTGTACCTTCACCTCATTTCCCTCTGGAACAGGGAATTTCCCTGCAATGACAAAAAACACTGTTGGGTTTTTTCCTTCTGTTTTCCATCACTACAGGGATGTCCAAGCTGCTTCCTCTAGGACGTCATCCAGGACTGTCAGTGCTTTCCCAACCCATGCCCTTTCAATAACTGAAGCCATGGAAGCTCTTCCCCACCCTGACGCAACCCAGGATCACCACAAAATCACCTGGAAAGGCCTTTACCCAAAATACCAACCCAGCCAGCACAGGATAACGTTGCTTGTTACCCTCTGGGGAGCACTTGGGGTCTTGAAAACCCAAGTGCCAGAAGCGACAGGCTCTGGTGCTATTTTGGGGCCCATCTGAAATCACAAAGTCCCCAGGGTGTGCAGCAACCTGTGCCCCAGTGGGACCCTGCCCTGGCGGCAGGGTTGCTGTTAAGAACCACTCACTATCACAGGCACAGTCGTGCCCTTGTTTGGATTGAGTGAGTTGTTATCACATCCCTGACAGGTTCCCCAGGGTTGAGAATCCATCCCGGCACCAAGATATGTTGGGAACAGGAGCAAACTATAAAGGGAGATGAACCAAAAGCAAACCTCTGAGATGCGAATTAAGAGATAATTTAAAACCCGAACCTGCTTTTTGCACACTGATTTCTTCCCCTCACTAATTACTTTACAACCACACTCACCCTTGAGCTCTCGGGGACTAAAATATCTACGTTCCTCTCCAAAATGTGTGGCATCTTTTTATCAGGACTCGGTTTGGAGCTTGCTCCATGCGCCGATAACACTGGGAGTTTGGCATGCAGAGACTGCTGGGAGAGATGGGGCCTGAATGTGCAACCACCACAGCCTGACAGGCTTTAAATATATATATATATATTTGCATAGGCATAAACATATATGCCTAATAACAATATATTCATGTGTACAAATAATAATTCTGCATTACAGCTCCTTTAACCAAAGGAACCTGAGGAAGCTGCAAGGCAGACTGTAAAACTGAACCAGTTCAAAATGATATGTGAGAGATTGCAACACTCCAAACAAAATGCAAGTTGTTACTTTAAAAGAACCCGGCTCGGGCTTTTGAATTTATGTAACCTAAACTGATTTTGTCTGTTTGAAATTGTTGTTGCGTGTTGGGAATCTCAAGGAGGTGAGGAGCAAAGCTGCAGACTTTTCCTTTGGAGTCCGAGATTACAAGCCCCTTTGCTTCTCCCTCCAGCTCCAAAGCTGTTAATGGTTTGCTTCATTTTATCTTCCTCAGAGCCTGTGTGAGGTGACAAGTTGGATAATAACAGCTCCTTTGGAAGTTTTTATAGTACATTAGGCAAACATAGTGGATGTTTATAGACTTTTAAAAATGCTGATTATATAAAAATGCATTTATAGCCTTCTAAAATACCGAGCTACTGTAATATAAATATTTCCAATTACAAAAAAAACCTAAAAATGCAGATTATTTGCCCAATTGGAGCAATTTTTTAATTGATTTCTGGTTTTCTTTGGGCCAAAATCTGATCTCAAACCAAAGACTGGCCAACACGCTGTGATATGAGTCAGGTCAATCAGGTTTTCGCATCCTGCAGAAGATGCTGCACTGTCCTGGGATGAAGCCAAACTGACTGAACCATGCACCCCACTCACCCTTGCAGCACCCCCCAACACCTCCAGCTTGAGGGAGCTTCTGGAAAAGTTGGGCATCTCCCAGCAACCTGCTGGACCAGCCACCTTCTCACCTCGCTAGTGGTGTGGAGACGCTTGGTCACCCAGTGGTTGGTCTTTCTCTGTTCTCTGTAAGAACTTGTATGAATAATTAATTTATTATTGGCACAGAAGCTCGAATGTGGCTCTGTCCTGTTCCTAGCAGATAAGGTTGCTGGGGATGTGCCTTCTCTCTTTTTTTGTCTTTTTTTTCTTACTTTGACCCAAAATTCCATCAGTAGGTAGAATTAGCTTTTGCCAATGGCAGTTGTCTCAACACAGATAAATTCTTTCAAGAAATTGAGGTCTTGACAAATTGGCATGTCCCTACCAAAAAAATACCCCAAACACTTAGTGAAAAAATGAGTTATTCTTTATTTTATAAAAACAATCTTTTTTTCTTGGCTTTGCCTTTTATTAGTAATTGGAAAAGACCAACTCAAAACTTTGGAGCTGCCTGTGAAGTCCCCCAAGTCATCATGAGATTGGGCTTTGACATCATACGATATACATTTTGACCGTAGAATGTTTATTTCACTGTCCTGAGGCAAAATGTTTTCCTTTGGTCATTTAAATTGATTTTTTTTTTTTTTAAATTAAAACCACCTATTTTTGTGGTTGTGCACTGTCCCACCTCTCCAGTACTGGAGCACATTGCAAATTTTCCCATTAATTAGAAAATCTCAGCCCCGCTGGTGAGAAAGGATGGAGGGAAGATGCTGCCTGCAGCCCTCCCACCAGATGGAATCAGCAATTTCATCATACAACCATGCTTAAAAACATTTCTCTGGAGGCCAACTCCAGCCTTTTCTGCTGCACATGGTTATAACATGTCTGTGTGACATGCACAGTTCGTGTGGTAAGAAGGAAAAGATGGGTTGGGTTTTTTCCCATGGTTTTTCCTTTCTTTTGACATTTCTGGCAAGAGAAAGAAAATGAAATTGTTTTCAAAACTAATGGCAAACAGAAGTGATGTTCCTTGACAGCACAGTAGTAACAGCCTTTCCTCTCAAAATCCTCATGTGGGAGACAGCAGTGTGATGCTTTCCCTCGTTTAAGTGGGAAACTGAGGCTGGAAAAGGGATTGCTTTGCCTGGGGGGCAAGGAAACAGCTGGGGGGTGCCAGGGCTGCTTCCCCACACCCTCCCAGTGA